GGCCTGGGTTGATGGGGCTGGATCCCCAGCACGCATGCGTCCAGATAGATGCTCTGTGGTATTTCTTATACAGATGGAAAGGTAGAGACAGCTAGAGTGGTTTAGGAGCCCAGCCCTAACCTAACTATAATAATCCCCGGCGACCAGAGGCAGGACCGTAGCGTCCGTAGCCAAGAAAGGGCCTTGCCAAAAGAATTAACGCACAACACTGCCCGCCCCCTCTCGTCCGCACGCGCTCTGCTTTTCCTGCACGTGCTTGGTTTCCCGGCTCACGTTGAGCAGCCGGACTGTACCAATCTCTGCGGGGGAGAGGCAGAGGGGCAGACAGAAGGAGCAGCAGGAATAACCAGGCGCGACTCTTGCACTGGGGGACTCGACCTCCATGCCTCTCCCGCCGGCCACCTCACCGGCACAGAATAACACCCCTCCCCGCCCCCGGCGGAGCCAGGCCCCCACGCCCTCCCCCGGTGGAAGTGGGGAGAACCTCGGGTTGGAACGCCGGTCCCGCCTCCGCTTGCGTCGGGCACCGCCCCGTTGTGAGGTTATAAAGTGCAGCGCTCCTAACGGCGAGCGCATTGGCTGCAGTCAGAGCTTCCCTTTCTGTAGATCCTCGGTTCGCGACGGGCCGCCCGCCCGCCTTCAGCTCCCTGTGCTGTAGCCTCGCCGGCGTCTTCGCCGTCCCCGGATTCCCGTGCTCGGCGCGAAGCCCTGGCCCCGGCGGCCGGGGCATGGGCCAGGGGCGCGGGTTAAGGCGGCTTCCCGCAGTGCCGTGACGTGCACCAGCTTCAGCATGAAGACCCTCATCATAGCCGCTTACTCCGGGGTGCTGCGAGGTGAGCATCGAGCACAGGCTGCCCGGAGTGAGACCTTTAATGGAGGATCTGTGCTGTCACGTGAGGGGTCTGGGCGATGGGGTGAGGGTCTGAAAGATGAGGGGTCTGCAGGGCCTTGTGGACTTTCTTTCTGGGGTCATAAAGCGGCAATGTTTTCAGCAAAGGCTGTCAGGACTAAGGCAAGGACTAAGGCAAGCAGGAGCGTGTTCTTATAATGAGGGTACGTTGCTGGAGGACTGGCCATTGTGTAGGTTGAAGTCCCAACCCCTTTTCTTTTATGAAAGCTTGCCACCCCCGCTCCCCTTAGATCATTTGGGTCTGGGATGAGGGAAGAGTAATGGTTCCTTCGTCTGATCCAGGCAGCCTGGCATGGTAATCAAGCCTGGGTTCATTCCCTGGCACTCATCAGCTTTTGCAGCCTGTGTTACATCACTTCCCTTCCCCCAGCTTGTTTTAATCACCTGCGAGATAGGGGTGATATTTGACAGCTCCTCTCGAGCCCCCAGCATTGTTGGTTCCACCTGACAGTTCCCTCCCCTCGCTCCTCACCAGGCAGAGTAAGGCAGGAGAGACTGGATGGGGCAAATTGGCAAGGGTTTTGCAATCCTCTGAAACAGCCACCAGTCAGAGAACATACCTGGCTGGGACACGTGTGCCCACACTGTCCTCTACCTGACATTCATTCTCTAGTTCAGGCCCACTCAGCAGCAACTGTTGAGCAGAACCTGGCACACTTATAAGGTGGGCAGAGGACCCTGGGTGCCCTCCAGTGTGGCCCATGCTCCTGGTTCACCAGTGTGGGACTGAGCCCTTCAGTGACTCTGGGAGCTTTTCCCACGTGAGGAAGAACATCCCTTCCACCTCTCACCTCCCACCTATGGTTGAAGAAACTGAGGCTGTAGAACGCATGACCTGCCCAAGGTTTTCTTAAACAGATGTCTTGACCATGGGATTAAATACAAACCCGGGAGACCCTGCGAAGTTATCATAGCTGTCCTCGTCTGAATGTGTCTTGCTTGAATCCTCCCTCCCCCTAAATCTTAATTCTGCTTGCTGAACCTGTCCTACTTAGCGTTTTTCTTTAGTAACTAACAATTGCCTACTCTACCCACTTTCATTGTAAAAATAAAATATACTAATTATTTGAATTTTGAAAAATATAGAAACACAGGATGAAAATAAAAATTGCTGGTATTGGCTAGCCAAAGATTCCTATTGCCATTTTAGTATATTCTTTAGAATTTATACACATTATATAGATAAAGTTGAGGGCAGGCTGTAGATATAGTTCTGAATCCTGTTTTCTCTCTCTTGATGTCACATCATGAGTATTTCCTTCTGTTACTCAAAATTCCTTATAATCTAGTGGCTATAAGGTAACCCACCTTGGAGCTGTATCACAGTTTAACCAGGTCCTGGGTATTGGTGTTGTTCCCTGTGTGACTGTCACTGTGATTGTCTGCCCCTTTTGGCCTGGGTGCTGTTTGTTGCCCTTGGAGAGGTACTGAACTGCCGTCGCCATCTTGGGGGACAAGCAATCTAAGCTGCCCCATGAACCCCGCCCCCCACCCCCCAATAGCCTCTGATAGCCCTTTCTCTCACTTAAGAGTAATGGTCCATTCACTGTGCCCTTTGATGCCCATAACAGGAGAAGGAAGGGACTTACCCATGTTCATGCCTTTAAAAATGCTTTTGTCTCCAGGGAATGGGCCAGGGATGCTCTCTGTGCTAGCCCTTCCTGGAGATTCCTTTCCTTCGCCTCTGCTGTCCACAGCTGGAAGCTGTATCTTCCAGGAATCAGGGGCCCTGATGCTCACATTTTTTACCTAGAGTTTGTTATTCAGGAGGACTCCTCGTGAATGATTTTGAGCAAGTCACTTCATATCATCAGGAGCATGTCCCCATGTTGGTATAAGATCTGGAAAACATTTAAAAAAAGATTTTTATTAAAAAATATAGCTAACATTATATTAGTTTCAGGGGGAAAACATTTATTTATTTATTTATTTATTTATTTATTTATTTAATTAATTCACTGTGAGGAATTCCATCATGATGTAGCAAGGGCTGTTATGAAATGCAAACCAATCACTTTAGCTCCCTGGGATCTACTTTGGTGAAAGACTGGGTGGGGTAGGGGAGGGTGCCAAAGCAAATTTTGTGTTATCTAGACATCTTCATTAGACCTGCTTTCTACATCCTCGGTCTTTGAGGACACTCCCCAGTGGCCTGGTTTGCCTCTGCCGATAAGGTTCCACTGTTGTGAGGTGGCGAACACCCTATTAGTGGTGATATTCAAGGAGAGACCATGGATTCCGTGAAAGGAAGTCCTGTGATGGGTGAGAGATTGAAATAGATACCTCGGTGCCTGTTTTCTTGACCAAAAGAAAAGACCAGCTGTGGGAACATGGGTAGGTGGGTGTCTGTTGGGAGGAGGCGGAAGTCCCTGCTGGTATTTTCTAACCTCTGAAGGACTAGCCTGTGCAGGGTGGAGGCTGCAGGCTTCCTCACATTTGCATCCCTGCCTTTGCCCCTGGATGGGAGGCTCTTCAGGTTAGAATCCTCTGCCGCCTGCTTACATCCCTAGGGTTCAACGCATAACTCAGCACGAGATGGTGGCAGTCCCAGTAAAATTCTGAGCTGATTTGTTTTGTGTAGCTCCAAAGAGCAAGGCCAGGAACAAGGGTGGGATTATGGCTGGCAGGTTTTGATGTAATGGAAGAATTCTAACAGCCATTGAGGGCTGCAGCAGGCTCTGTGTGGGCAGGGGGTAGGGGGTGGAGCTCTCCATCACTGGGGATATGCAAGCAGATCGTTGGTAGTGGGTGAAACTAAGAGGCTCAATTGTTGGGGGATGGAACTGAGGGTTGACAGTTACCTAACCCAGTCCTAGATTATAAGATGAGAACACCACTCTTCATGTTCCCCTGTCCCCCAATTCTTTGTAGCATTCCCTCTGCACTATACCACCTCCCCGGGTGCACAGAGGCCACTTTGGGGTTACCCGTGCTACCCGAGGGCCCTTCTGGGCTGAGAAAGGAGGGCCAAGAGTAGTGTTTTATTAGCAGATTGATTGAGTCACTGGCTAGCGTGGCAGTCCTGCCTCACCCCCATCCTCCATCCCCAAATTTGGCAGCATTACTTGAGTCATAAAATCATAGCTGTCAGTTAATGCTGGATCTGGCCCAGCCCTCTTGTTACATCGGGGACACTGAGGGCCCCAGAGAATAGGCAGTGGTCCAGAGTTACCCTTAAAGCCAGGGTTAGAATCCATCTCCCAGTCTGCGACTTGCTTCCTTAAACCAAGAGAGAAGTGTGGTGAGGTGCCGAAGGTCTGGGCGCAGGACTTTGGCCATTGTAGGTGCTCAGCCGTTTCCAGTCTCCATGAGGGGGTGGCAGATCACCCCTCCCAAGCTTTTTGAGGGAGCCCTCCCCGCCCCCACCCCCCCGCTTGCCCTGATGGATAGAGATGCCATAAAGTCCCCTCATCATACTTCAAACCTTCCAAACTCCCCCTTGTGGCCATGAAGCCCCACGTGAGCAGCTCCCACCACCTCATGACCGCATCTCCTTCCATGTTGTACTCAGAATTGCCAGTGGTTTTCCTCTTCCTGCAGTGTTCCCACCAGTGCACTCCTGTCTCAGGGCCTTTGCGTGTGCCGCCCTTCTCCTGCCCAGATCTTTGCATGGCTGGCTTCTGAGCCTTCATCTCCTCCCACAGGCGCTTTCTGACCACACCACCCGGAGATCTGCCCCCTAGTCACCACATCTTGTTTAATTTTTTATAGCCCTACCATTACCTAAAATATGTGTACTTCTCAGTTTAGGTAATTGTCTCCTGGATAAGAATATCAGCCCCTTGGGAACAAGGACCTTGTCTTTCTTTCTCAGTGTTGTGTCCTGGCATCTAGCACAGTGCCTGGCATGTAGTAGGTGCTCAGTAAATATCTTGCTGAATGAATGAATCATTAATGGGCCCTCAGCCCTCCTGAGAGCTGCCCTGTTCCTCTTGGCAGGAATCTCTGCTTTTAGCCTCAGTGTGATTCCTCAGTCCTTCCTCAGGCTTCCTCTGTGCCTTCCTCTGCTGGGTGGTGGGGCTGCAGCTGTTCTGTGCCCTGGAGACACCCACAAACTCATGAGGAGCTGGCTCCAGGGCTGAGTGCCAAGTGGGTGGAGCCGGGCTCACCATGGTCCCCTCATTGCTTCCAGTGCTTAGAAAACAGAGAGCCAGAATTCCATCCCCGGCTTCCCTCTGGGACGTGGCTGGTGGCCTACTTTGCATCTGGGAATGTCACTCCTCCTGTATGGAAAATAGGATCAGAAATCTCAAACTCTCAAGGATGTGCATGTTTGAGTGAATGTGACTGGAAAGTGCTTTGTAAACCAATTTGTGATGCTCGAGTTAGTCCGTGTCACCTATCCTGTGCGACATATGCAGCAGGTCCCCCAGTGCTATAGAGAGTGGCAGGCTGTGCTCTGGGGGCATCCAGGAAGCTTCACCACAGTGGGGACCCTTCGACTTATTGATGGAGCACCTCCTGTGTGTCAGATTCTGTACTGCACACAATGGGTCAGCCCTGATCCCTGCCTTTGAGGAAGTGAGACAGGGAGGGGTGAGGGGTGAGCTGTGGGGTGGGGGGAAGTAGGGCGAAGTGCGTATACACAAGATGACAGTGCACAGTGATCCATGCAGTGACAGGGGAGGAAGAGGGGAACTGGAGGGCTGGAGGTGAGGGTGGGGCAGCCTGGGGTCAGGGAAGGCTTCCAAGGAAGAGGTGACATTCACTCTCAATACTGAAAAATGAATAAGCATTAGCAAGGCAGGCAAGAGCATTCAGGTACAGGAAACAGCATAAACAGTGGCTTGAGATTTGGGTGGGAGGGGCAGTGTCTCCAAGTCAACACACTGGGCTGAGGTCCTGCTATGCTGAGAGGCAGAGATAAGGGAGATAAAGGCTGTTGTATCCAGACCTGGAGTGGCTCACCTACGCCCATCTTAG